TATTGCCAGATACTGCTGCAGGCTGCTACCTTTATTTCTCCCAACTACCGCTTTGCCACACGGTGTCGCTACAGATCTTGGCTACCAACGTGAAGTTGGCGTCAGCGGTCCATGATTATATAGTCAAAGGGTGATATGAGTTACATACTCACATATATACATTGATACATTTTGGAACATACTTACAGTAACTTTACCTTTTACCTAGAATCTGAAGTGCTCGGCGTTTGGCAACACTGAACTGAAGAATTCTGGGCATTCTGGCAGCAGGATCGAGGATTTTTATTTTTATCGCAGGATTGCAGTGATAAATCTCGGAGCGATATCCATGATAAAGTGCGCATAAAGCGAGATGGCATTATTCCGGGCATTGCCCGTCAAAATCGGCGCGACATCCAGGATTATCTCGAAGAGCGTCCCTACCGTGTTTTATCACGCAAATGTAATTACCGTCATTTTTAAAATACGTGTCGTCATACCGATTCTAACCTCCAATTGCGTCTAGCGCATATTCGCAATTATTATTATTGACATTTGACATTTCTTATCTAACAACTTTTATTTGTCATAGCGTTAAACGAGCGACATAAATGTGATCTTAAAGTGATTCTTTTGGTATCTCAATGCGATTATGTTTCGAGCCTGTTTTACTCAGAATCGAGTTTAACCGGCGTAAATATAGGAGAATCTTATTTATACAGGAAATGTGTGCATGTATTTTGTGCACAGATTATTTTCTATTAAAATATTCCATAATTGCTGTTTTGCGTAATATAAACTGATTATTTGTGTGGTGTAATATGGCGTAATTTTTGCTTATATATATTCGTGTGTATATATACACACATGCATATACACGTCATATATATATATATAATATATATACACATACATTTACTATATGTATAGATCGCGTTCGCATTGTTTCCGTCTCATTTTTATATTTTTCTACATTAAGTCATAATTGATAACAAAAGTGCATTCTAAATACAGATCATAATTTATGAATACCGTATAATTACAATAGCAATTGAGATTGAGATTGGATTGGAAATTTCGAATTTGATCAATTAAAAGAAAAAAGTAATAATAATGAAATTTAGTAAATTTTACATTGATTGAATTGATATTCCAATTCAATCTCGATCTCAATTGCTAGTGTAATTATGGCTTTACAATATTCATAAATTATGATCTGTATTCAGAATGCATTTTTATTGATAAATACGCGCTTCTATCCGAAATTCTGCATATTACAATCAATTACATTTACGTATAGTACAATTAAAAATCAATGCATATAATAATTTCTATTAATTGTAAGAAATTTATTATAATACACTTTATCTAAAATGTTTACGTAAGTATGTTATTATTTTATTGCATAAATATTTACAAGTAAAATTTTGTTACGTAAATAATTATTACATAAATTTAATTTAATAACTAATTTATATAGCATTTGTATACGCTACTTATTAATTTAATTATTAATAAATTATTACTCGTTACATGATGCATATATTGCTTATAACAGTTTACATGTATTATAATGTCTCTGGACTGAAAATTCGAAACGGAGATGTTCTGATTGTACAATTAAATAGGTACTGGATCACTATGAAAATCCCAGAAACGTTGGTTCCTTGGATAAGAATGACGAGCAAGTTGGGACGGGTCTTGTAGGGGCACCTGCCTGTGGTGATGTGATGAAACTTCAAATCAAAGTCGACGAAAAAGGCAAGATAATTGACGCAAAATTCAAGACCTTTGGTTGTGGTTCTGCTATCGCCTCAAGTTCTTTAGCGACGGAATGGGTTAAGGGAAAAACGGTGAGATTTCCTAATTTACATTTATTATAATTTTAGTTTAATATATTACAATTTATTATAATTAAATTTTAATTATGATAAATTATATTAATTCTTCGGACGCGCGCAAGATGTTGGAACATATTTCTTATGGCTAATAACTTTAAATACACGCGAATGATGTCATTTTCATGAGCTTTCTCAATCCTTTTCAAGTTACTTCATGTTCGATTTGCAATTATACAACTATAAAATAAAATATGTTGAAATGTTGGAATTTTAATTTGCTTAAAATTTTCAGGTGGATGAAGCATTGGCATTGAAAAATACTGACATTGCAAAAGAGCTTAGCCTCCCGCCTGTCAAGCTGCACTGCTCGAGTGAGTGTTTGCTTTAAAATTTTTTTTGTATTCTAAATTAGAGTATTATAGTAAGTGGCGTCTACAATGAGACTTAAGATTTAAGAAAATTAACCAATTACTATCGATTATTTTTCTTACGTGAGATAAATAATCGACTATGATTGGTCAATTTTCTTAAATCTTAAGTCTTATTGTAGACGCTTAATATTCAGTATTTCTAGAATGAGACAAGCGCGATCGTAGCGCAGAGAGCTCTCGCTGTGCGCCTGCTCTCGGTGCCAAAGACTCGGGTTCAAATCCGGTTAGATACAGCGGATTTTTATTCGATCGCTACCTCTCAGAAGGAAGTGCGCAACGAGTAGACTGTCGCAAAGACAAGGAAATATCAGAATGGTAACAGCAGAAACGAAATAAAATACAGAATAGCATAAGTCATGAGTAGTAACAGGGGGAACGGAATGAAATACAGAGCAGCAGAGGCACTGGTTTTTCAGGGCAACCTACTGAGAGTATATCTCGCCATGAAAAATCAATAGCTCTTTGTTGTTCTATTTGATATTTCATTTCCACTGTTTATACTACTCGCGCCTATGTTATTTTGTATTTGATTCCGTTTCCGCTGTTACTATTCGCGTAGAGCGGATTCTGATATTTCCCGGGATCGTCCTTGTCCTTAATGTCTATCTACAATGAGAGTAGTAAATCGCAAGCCGTAAGAAATTGACCAATTATAGTTGAATACAAGAAGAATAATCGACTATGATCGGTTAGTTTCTTATGGCTTACGATTTATTACTTTTATTGTAGATGGACCTTTACGGCAGTCTGCTCGTTTCCCTGATTCTTTTGACGCAGATATTATAAATTCGCTTACGTCACTCATACATACTAGAAATTACCGTAATTTTGTTTTTGCTCGAGCTGCTAGTCGGGCTGCAGGCCCACGGAGAGTGAGACGCGACCGTAAATGAAAATTTATTGGTTCTACCGGGAATCGAGCCTGGGACCGGTTATGCATCATATTATAGCAAATGTAAAAATCAAATATAATTCAGTATCAAGATTTTGTGTTGTAACAATCTTTTTTGCAAATTGCAGTGCTTGCCGAGGACGCAATTAAGGCTGCTCTGTCAGATTATCGCATCAAGCAAGAGTCAAAAACTAAAGAGAAGAACGAGGCGACCAACTAAATTGAAGCACTAATGGAAGTGTTTTAATTATGCAATGTGATAGCAGCAAAAAATAGATTTAGCTCACAGATATTTATTATTTTAAGGGAATTATTGTACTACTGTGTTGTAATCACACTTACTTGGGCCGAGCTAATGGGAATTGTACATTCCTTAAGCTATATATACGTATTATCTTTCCTCTCAAAATGTTTACTAACATCTGGTGACAAATCGTACCTGTACTCCCGAAATTAGTGAAATAAATTTATTTAACTAAATGTTTTCAGAAGCAAACATATAATTTATCTAATAAAAGCGTGGCTAACATAGCTTTTAAACTATTTATTATAGAGAAATAAATTACATAATATATGTACAATCAATATTCTTGAGGATCCAATCTTGACTTTTGTTTCAAAATCACTTTTCGGCAGACGGGTATTGAAAAGAAACAGCTTCGAATTTTTCGGCGTACGTCAAAATTTTTCTAGCTTCTAAAATGGGACAGTAATTGACTTAACTGAGAGATCCTATATAATACGTCATAGAGGAAGAATCTGTCGTTCATAAATTTTCGATGCAACGATTCTCAAACAGAAGTGCACTCAGTTACGCTCTTATTAGACAGACCATCTCAACGTCTTAAATCGCGTCTTTCAAGACGCAAAAATAAAATGCCCGATGATTGATACGTTCATTCTCTTTACTCGTGAAATATATTGACTTCGTCACTCGTCGAATAGCGAAGAAAGATTAAGAAATAGCGAGCTAAATTAAACGTCATGTAAACAGCGGCGACTGACGCAATAAATAGCGTGCATTGACGTTGGCCACTATCAATGGAGAGCACTCCACCGTCAACGGGGGCCATGTGACGATCTGAGTAAAACACGCGTTTTGTGGACGCGCGTGTATTTTTCTACAACCTTTCTCCGTAACGCGATTCCTCGAATTAAAGTGCCCATGCTTCAAATAAAAGCTTTATTTTCTTGACGCATACCCGAGAGTTATCAATTCTCTCTCTCTCTCTTTTTTACCTTGCTTCGTCGGTTTCGTCGTTTCGAATTCGTTATTCGGATTTAAATCTTATTTTATTTTTCTCCTGTTTGTTTCCTTGAAATTTACGGACGCTTCGCCTTCTCATATGAAATACGGAAAGTCGCTGTATTTTTACGAAATATACGTTTCAACGTATATTTTTATTTAAATCGCAAATGCAAATTTTGAAATGTGAAATGTAAAAATTAATTGAAAAGGAATAGGTAGTGTTTAATTTTATTTTATCTAACGGTGCTTTAATTGGTCTAACGGCACTTTAATAGTGTCTACTGGAACATCGATTCTGCAACTTTTGAAGAAGTTACTCGGTAGAGAAAAATATCCAGTTACTTTTTTGCATGACGAGGTATATCAGATTTACACATTTATGCAGAAACGCTCGTATCCTACTTCTTCGAAATCAGCAGCTTATTTTACGTAAATTAATCGAGGCCGTGTGTTCAATAAATTATGCTGCGATAACCGAAAGCGTCGCAGATTCGAATCAGCGCAATCTAATCACAAATAATGTACTTAATGATTCCTTAAGGCGATACAACGAGACATCAAGATTTCGCAATAGATAATCTGTTTTGATAACGACTCTCTTGAAGCAGAAAAACGTGCATTTATTGCAGATTATTTCTAAGAACAACGCAATTAGAACGAACGTTGCAAAAACGTTCGCATTCGCAAAAGAACACTTGCGAGGAATTTCATGAACGATCTTGATTAATTAATTCTGGCTCGCAATTTTTCATCCTTTTCTAGTATATGTACAGCTTTAATTCCTATAAACGGAGTGTCGCAAGAAACAATCGTGTATGTTGTTCTGGATTGTAAAAATATTTGATGTTAGAATGAAAAAAATAATTACTATTTTATTACATAATAAATAATTTATTTACAATTTAATAATAATTTTTAGAATAATTTTTATTTTATTTTAGGCATTAGATCCGCTTTAAATTTGGCTCTTATTCCTTAATAATTTCGGTTGATTCTTACATATATTATTGAATAATAATGTTATTTATATACAAGAATGATTTAATTTTCTTTAAATAATTTTGTAACATATATGATTTTATTTCTTATTCTCTTTATTCAATTTAGAGTAAATTTATTTAATCGCACTTTATTTTTTGCTTTCATTTATTATTATTATTAAGCTATTATTTCACAAATGAATTTTTTTAAAAGAAGAAACTAGTACGTTAAATAAAAAAAAACCAATATTCTATGCTATATTTTCTCTCGAATCATTTAAAAATTAAATTTGATTTCTATTTATTTAGGTCGTTTTAACATAGTATTTTTTATATCGCTCCGTTGATAGAGAAGTGACATAGAAAAAATTAACATTTTTTAGATAATAAAAAGAAACTGATTCTAAAGACTAAAGACTAATATATTTTTGTGGAAAAACGTTTGTAGCTCTCTCAAGCTCAAAGTGTCGTAATAAGGGATGAAATTTAATTACATTATACTAGAATAGAGAGTTTGATTTTTAAAAATTCATGACATATATAGTTTTGAAAAATATATTATAATTATAAGTGTAATATAAAAGTGAAGTTAGGCATATAAATAATTATATATTTTATTTATCTTAATTTTAAAACGTCTAAAATTTCAAATTTTGAAAATACTCTACTGGAAAGTTGCTTAATAATTTTGAGATGTATAATTTTTTTAATCAACGGAGCGATATTATTCTCTCGGTGTTTATCTCCAACTCGGGAAACTAGACACATGGTCGAGAGCACATCATGGGCGCAAGGGCGCACGATGATCACTGACTCCGCGTTCTTTGTCTTACAAATTGTCATCACAACACCAATTGATGCTTAATCAGAACAAATTTATGTTGTAACTGCGCGTGTCTGTTGTTTGTACGTTTCCACTTGGTTTACGACTAATTAAAACTAAGTCGCGAAGTCACAATAAGTCGGCTACTTCACTACGCGCGATATGACCTCGTGGCATTATGTTTATCGGACTTTATATATGGTGGAACCTTCCATAATTATCCGGAAACTCTGCGTATCATGGGGAATAAAACGCAAGATATCTCCACGTGTGGAACGTTCACGTAACGCGTGGTTATTCATTATACGCTGCGTATTCGTTATCTTACTCATTATTTTTTAAAGATAAAAAAATTTCACATATATATGAGACAACAAATCTCGAATTATTTTAATTAATCTCTCTCTTACATTGGTATTTCAATCTTTTTATGATTTATCAAATATATGTGTGATCAAATCTCATAGGATAGGCAAATCTCAATTACGTAATATATTGTTATATAATCGGCACGTGAATTCGATCATGGGCTATCTTTCGTGTGATTTTTATCGCAGCTATACGTAGATCTACTGCAAATAATCGTTTCGGCACTTGTTATATATGTTCATATAATCAATAACCGTGATATGAGTTTGATATTCTCCGAGTTTTTTTTTTAAATCCTCTTTTAAACATTGAAATAAAAATACATTGACATTTATCTAAAATTAACTGATTATGTGAAATGAGATAGATTTCGTCAATTCAACAATCTATAGGAATTCAAACAACCGTCGAACGAACATATATTATAATTTCTTTATATAATAACATTCAATTAAATTCTAAAATCATTTAGACAGAGATCTTTAACTATAAATTACTTTTTCTACAATTTATAATTATCGATTTACTTGTGACACGCCATTGAATCTCACTAATTCATGATAGCATCTACTGTCGCGATCGTTGTAGACGCACAATTTGGTATTCTACAGAGATTTTCACAGTCGAAGGACGAAAATCATGTGAAGCACACGAGTCATGGAATAATACATTTTGAGAGGCGTGTAAGCTATCAAAATTTCTTGAATCGACAGATAAGAATTTGACGGTTATTTACACTTTTATATACATCGATAATCAGGAATTATCTACTTCCTTTCATAAACGTGCGTGCGCAGCGATAATAGCTTACGTATATAATGAATATATGTATACTGCTTGTGTACATATGACCTATGTAAATTACGTATATATTATAACGTGTTGATGGATTAGACGTTATGATACGATAATGAAGCATCTTTATCGAGATATAAAAAATTGTTAAGCTAAGAGAGATATAATGAAATTTATTACAAAGCTTGTTTTGCGGAATGACTTTAATAAATCCGTGGAGAAAATTTTTCTTAGAATTTTTTATGTAATGTTTTAGGATTTCTATATAAATTTCGGAATTTTTCAGAATTTTTGTACAATTTTATAACTTTTTAGAAAATTTCTCAGATTTTTTACGAATTAGAACATTTTTTAAAAACGCTAAGGTCTATTCTAGAATTTTATATACATATGAATTCTGATAAATATTCTCTATCAATCCATCGTTTAGAAAACATTTTATTTAACGCTTCTCGTATCGTAGAATCATGATATACCAGAGCCTGTATAATCAAAACTATATCTTTATCATTTAGTTCTGAATTTTTTTTCTGGGAATATTTTAGAAATACAATCCATTATGAATTAGCTCGCTCGAAACGCAACGTCGAATTACAATTAGTCCGCGAAAATATCTCATTCGTCATGATAGTGAATATATTATCCTTCAGAAGTCCTTCAGAAGTCAAGTTATAGTCCATTGCGTTCGAGGACACTAATTTAAATATTTACGTTATCTACGTAGATAAGATACAAGTCCTGTGAACAATGCTTTTGTAAGTATTAAATCTTCGATAAGTTCGCGTGATCTAGATCAAACTCTCGTTATGAAAGAAATTTATAACTGTAAAACTTTAAAAAATTATAATCTTTCTTAAAAAGATGAAATTGATCTTGAATCCTTGAATAAGATCAGATTTTTTAATGTAATGTGTCTGCTTTGATAACATTCAATTCCCAAAAAGTAATAATTTAATAACCATGTAAGTAGGGCTCTGAGAATAAATCAAACGACATAAAACATAAAGCCAATAAGAGCCAATGCAGATATCGTGTGGGCATAAAGTTTAAATATCCATTAGTAAAATATTACGTAGATAATAATTAAAGGCATAAGGTAAATAATTCCCTTCTCAATGCAACTAATAAAAATTAAAAAAAAAACAAAATATAAATTGCTATATAAAACATAAATTGTTAATAACAATTTATGTTTTACGATTATTTGTATCGATTGTGCTTAGGATGACCCAAACTGCGCCGAAGCGTTACAATACCTACTTATGTAATATTCTGCTAATAAATATTTAAACTTTACGTAAGTACTTCGATATCTGCATTGACTCTTATCGGCTTTATGTTTCATTTTGTTTAATAATTCATATCTTCGGAGATATTCAAGCATATATAATATAATGGAACATGCTGCGTGAACACTTATTATACACTCCTACTTTTTTTTTAAACGAAAATAATAAAAGAACATTTTCTTGTTCGAAAATAAATTTTATATTTTTCTATAAAATTCTAGTTTTAATGTATTTAAATTTTTTTTCAGATAATTCTGCTATTGGATAAAAAGAATTGTGTTTCGCCAACATCCCGCTATTCGTTTACTGGTAATACTAGTTTTTCGGTGAAGCGGGACAGCCAGCGGCATGAGCGATAAATATATTAAATTCACGAGTGATAATGATGACTAATGCTACAGCACGCGAAATCTTATGCCTCACGCCGTACGGTTCCACCTTCCACAGCAAATTTTCCATTCCCCGATCATTCCTCCCATTATCCGATCCGTTAAATCGCTCTCTCCTATCGCTCTCTCCTTTTCGCGCCTGGTAGACGATTCGCAAGGTCGTGCTGCGGCGTGAACAGAGAGACGAAATCGGACGCGCGCCACGTGGTGATGTGACCCGAAGGCGAAGGTTACGAGAAATAGTTTTTGGCACCCGTGCTGCTCATGGATGTTAATCTGTCGTGTCACGACGCAGAATATGCACGAGAGAGTACGAAAACATTCAAAATCACGAAAAACACGAAGCGATCATTGCTCTTAATAAAAACAAAGCGATCTCTCAGCCTTTTTGCTTTCGCGTGCACAGCCTTCGTTTCACTTATTTATTGTAAAATTCTCTTATGAAACTCCTAGGAAACTTGTTAAAGATAATTACCAGTCCTTCATTCTCTTTTAGTTTTTCTTGTGTTTGAGACGAAATAAGAAATTGATTTTATAATTGTGCCTAGCGTGCGTTAGCTGGTACTATATAATGGAAACGGTTGAATATACGGTAGAATATATACTGCAGCTACGCTCCATGGAAATTTACCGCGGCTCGTTTCTTTGTGCTCCATTCGTGGTTCCTCAGAATAATGTGAGATAGATTCTCGGAAGCCGCATAGTCCGTAGATGTATATGTCGACTCATCATTTTAGGATATTGTAGGATCATTTTACAGCAATCTTAATTGAAAGAAGTTATCAATAGGTAATGACATTGTTAATCAATCGTAAATTTTCTAAATGACTATATTGTTATTTAAAAATCAATGACAATCAATAGACTAACGGCAACAATTTTCAAATGACTCTAGTTTTGTTTAAAAAATTTTATCTTTAGTACTGTAGTAACTTCAGTATTTTATTATGTATTAATAAAAAAATATTTATTAACATTCAACATATTGGGAAATAGGAGAATTTTATATTTCAATAAAAAGGATACTTATTTTTTTAAAAATGAGAGATAATTGTTTAAACAAAATACTGTAAATATTTTGCAAGAATAATTTTTTTTTATAGATTTTTCTTCACCATTCTTTAATTCTAAATAACATTCTCTTTTGTGTATCATCGCTCTCCTTTTTGACATTGAAGTGACAGAAACATGTAAGCAATCTCAGTGTTTAAATATTTAAAGCGAATTCTATGCGAGACTGAACATTAATCAAGCTTGCTTTCCCTGTCATCAGCTGCTATCTTCACCTTTTCTCTCTCTTGCCTGATTTTCTTTGTCTCAATATATCCGTCTTGCGCATTATCCTATTATATCCACGGTTAACGACATTTATGAGCAATTATTATCACTGGATGTCCTATCTGTGATAAGATAGAGTAACGTAATTTCGAATAATTACAAGATATTCACTTAATTCATTTGTGAAATCATGCAGCTTACATTTGGACCTTCCTCTTAATTTAGAACAAAAGGGCTTCTATTATAGCTTTGACCACGTCAACGTTACCGCAAGGGAGTATAAATCGTACCTTTCATACTGATCGTGTATTATGGAAATAAAGAAACAAATAGAGATAGCTATTCATGCAGATAAAGAGAGAGAGAGAGAGAGAGAGAGAGAAAGAGAAAGAGAGAAAGGGAAAAGACCGACTGAATTCACGGCAGTCCACTGGCGGAGTAGGGATGTACTCCGTCAATAAGAGGAGAAGGGGAGACTGCACTCCGCTCCGGGAGAGTCCCCTGGCGTGCCGCGTGCGTGCACGAGAGATAAAGCTATCGCGCGGCAGCGGGCGAGAGAAAGAGTGACCCCGAGTACGGCGAGTGCGGAGCGGAGAGAGAAAGAGAGAGAGAGTGGGGATCGGCGAGGAGGGTGGAGGCAGAGCGGACGCTTGACGCCCCTGCGTCGTCGTGACACACAGCTGATCAGTCGGCTCGTGACGCACGTATCGGTACGCGTGTCGTCGCGAGTGCGTGGTTGGGGCCGCGCGTAACACACGCGCGCGAGTATAACAGAAATGATCGCGACGGTCTGAGGGCGAACGGACGAGTAGGTACATGTGCGTGCACTGGTGTCGTTCCGCATTCTCTATGCGCCTAGACAACGACGACGACGACAACGACGAGGACGAGGACGACGACGAGGAGAAGATAGTCGGCGGACGCGGGTGGAGGCATCAACGGAGGCGGCGAGATTGCCTGGCGAGGGAGAAAGCACAGAGCGGCCGGGTCGATCGACGGGGTCTGTGACTGGAACGGTGGCGGCGGATGATCGTGGAGAAGAAGGAAGGCGGCGGAGGCGGCGCACGAGGACGACGGACGACGACGCCGTTGGCACGCACGGGTTCATGACACGGCCCCGCCGCGAGGAGGACTCGCAGCAGAGCGACGCGCAGTGACGTTTCCGCGCGGAGCATCGACGGCGCGCCTGCCCGTCTCCTCATCGCGTCGCGGTATTTAATACCTGCCTACCTATCTACCTGCCTACCTACCGCCGTGAATATTCATCAGGAGCACACACACCGCGCGCGCGCGCGCGCGCGCGATCGAGCGCGAGCGCGCATGATAACAAGCGGCGTCCCGGAGAAGGGGCAGATAGATAGATTCGAAGGATAGAAGCAGGAAGGAAGGAAGGAAGGAGGAAAGCGGGACGGCTATTGCCCTTGTCTTCTCTCTCTCTCTCTCTCTGTTCGTTTCGTCATCTCTAATTTTCTCTCCCCGCGTGTTCCTCTCTCTCTCTCTCTCTGTTTTGCATTTATCTGTTGCCGCTTCGCGCCACTGGTGTTTAGTCTCTCCGTACGTACACACGCGCACGTTATACACGCACGCACACAATATTATAATATTTATTTCCCCGTGGCGGCGATCGGACCCCCGCGTTTTTATCTCTCCGAGCCCGACCGTATGTGCAGTAGACGGCCGCGTGTTGTGTCACTTTAGTGTGCATGATTATACGTGCGCGCGCGCGAGAGAACCCGCGATTAAAGGTCGATGACGATGCAACGGGTTCAAGATCAAGACAATGGGATCAACATCAAGTTCGGCCCGGGAAAATCCGCCCGGAGGGGCGATTACAGGCTGGTGTCGCAGAGCCCCGACGACAACAAAGACCGCCACAATGGGACCAACATACCAGGTGAGCCAGCGCTGCTGTTGATTTATAACACGCCCGGTAGAGAAGCGGCTCGTTTCGCCTCGCGATCAATTTTTTTTTGGAATATTCAGAAAATCCAGGAAAATGCTTCCCTGGATTTCCCGGATATATTTTCCAATCACCCGGACATCGGCCACTCACGATATTTTTTACACGAACCATCTTTGTTTCGGAGCTGAAACGTGAGTTAGGGATCGCGAAGCGATTTATTCAACATTTGTACTTATGTATGTATGTATATGTAATACGCGTTAAGAACTCGCGGAAAGCGAAAATTTGTCGTGTCGCTGATATTATTGCAAATGATGTCATAATTATACAGGATGAATTATCGGAATCACGAGACAGCGACGCGTCAGGGACGCTTGTTACTCTTCATTCCGAGAACGATTCTTATCCCCTTTTATCTTTTGGATACGTTATAACGATTTTTTCTAACGCCAACTGGTGTTATTGATAACCTCAACGCAGTTCAGAGGCATGTTGTCGTTCCGCTTGGACATTTACGCGTTTTTGTAATTTTTCTGATTAAAGGTTACATTTTTTTATATTCGATTAAATATCACATGACATTTATTCACATGTTTGGACAACTTTTTATTTTTTACGTATATTGTATTATTTTATATGAAGTGTATTATGCATTATTTTATATATTAAATGTGTATGTCATTAATTTAAAAAAAATTTTAATTAAATTATATTTATTATAACTAAATTATAACGCAACTTAATTATTTAATAAAATAAACCTTTGATAATTCGCGAGTAATTTATTATTAATTTATACATTAAAAACTAATCGATAATTTTTGTTTTAATCAGAAAACAAAACTTATAAGCAAAAAATACTTAAAACTGAAATACGTACTAGAAATGACACAGAATGGTGTAGCTTAACACTTTTCTGTTTCCTCTCTTATCACGATACGACCGTATCACCGAATTATCTCGCCGCTACTATCATTATCTCTTAATTTCTTGTCGCGTCTACATCTATAACTTTTTTCGCTAACAGAAATAGTTTCTACTCGTTCATTTTCCTTTTTCCATTTCCGCGCTATTCCATCTTTGGGATCATATAACGTTTGGGATCTATACTGTTATAGATAGAACTTTTATAAATAGAAGGGTCGGATAAAAAAATTGGCCTAAGAGCCAAGAGGCAAAATGAGTGAATATATAAAACTGATGTAATGAAAACACTTGCCAACGTTGGTATTGTAAAATCTTTTAGCTGTATGTAATTTAATCACAATTCGTTCGCACCGCACGCGTGCGTTTATTTGTAATGTAACACTCAAGACTTACACGGTTAAAGCTTACCCTTAAGACTTACATGTTTATAATTCCTTCCGTAATAATTTCCTCAGGTATTCAAACATGTAAATAAATTTACTTATGTCAGAGAAAATTCGTGCAAGAGCAATTTGCCCCACAATGCTAAATTAATTCTAAAAGTTTAAAAATTTTTCCTTTTGTTTCGCTCTATTCACCCAATATACTCTAATATATACATTTCAATTATCTGATAGATAATAAAAAAGAAAATATTTTTTAAGGAATTATCCAATCCCTACATCGCACATCCTCGAGATGTCCTATAAATAAGAACGTTGCCAGGATGTCTCTCGGAAAAGTGTGCTGTTTGGGATATTTTTATTTTCGTGTACTGACATGTAATTATATGTCGATGTTAAATAAAGCAAATAATTTATATCGGCGTTTTCTTCGGTCGCGAATAATGAAACCTCCCTTTTCAATCTCAATAAAAGAATCAAGAGAAATTATTTTTTTACGAAAAAGAAAAGGAAAAATGTTACAAATAGGAAGATTCTATATTGTATTTAAAGGAAACTCGTTTAATTGAATTCCGCTAATTGAATTCCTCTGTCGCGCGGTCGTTTTTAATTCCATCTATTGTCCGCGTAATAAAAAGCGAATGAGATTGCATACCGCAACGGAAAAATGACTTCCGCGTGTGAGGTGGCTGCGGGTATTACAATGTTGCATACCGATGAATGTTTGGCTCTTTGTCGGCGATGGGAGAAATTACAACTTTCCATTGTTTACGCGCATGTTATACGTACACACACACACGCTTACCTCCCTTCGTTCCTGGAATAAATCGCACGATGATTTCTGTCGTATTCAAGCGTGTTTACGATTACCCGATGTTGACGCTCGTGCCTCATCCGTGTGTCATCAACATACACAAGTAAGCCTCTCCCTTATGTCAGCGCTGTGTGTCGAACGACTGTTTCAGCCGGTTTCACTCGCGAAACCAAAATATGAGGAAGTTAATACATACCGTTTTATTAGCATACCAATTTCCATCTCGTTATCGTCCCCGGGGACGCGTCCCACCCGCGGAGCGCGCGCCGGCAGAACATCTGTCATTATCTACTTATTGTTTGACGGTCTAATTGCCGCCGTTTGCTCAGTCTTCCCGCGAACCGATTACACGAGATTAACAATGTACAAACCGCGCTGACTTCTTTCTGGTGTTTTGTTTACCGAGCCGCGCGCACACCGAGCAATTTTCTCCGCGTGACAGACTGTCGGAAGTAGAAGGAATTCCCGCTCGTCCATCGATTATTTTTTAAAGAGCCATATAGAAATAACGCGATCTCACTTTATTTATTGCTTCTCAAATGGAGTGTGGCATTTCAATAAACATGTTTCATGAAGCCGATTGAAGTATTTCCAAAGAAAGATCATCCATTCCTGTTTTTTATATTACTTGATTCGATATAATGCCGAGAAACTACAAAGTCCAGAAATTGTAGACTATTAACTACCGAATGAACTTTGGAACTCGGACTTCAACAGGAAAAAATTTTTCTCGATTTCTTGATTCTCAACTTCTTGAGAAAAAGAAAACAGAGGAAAATGAATTTTAAATCTAAATTTAATTCGGAGAAAAAGTATCGTGGAGGATAACGATGCTTTGTATTATTATAAGTGAAGATTAAGTAAAAATAAGGGAAGAATCGATTAAGCGCTTCTAAGGAATCTCTATCTTTATTGCAGAGAAAAACGAGAAGACGGAAGAGGAATTAGTCCCACCGGACGGTGGCTGGGGATGGCTGGTACTCCTGGCCGCCGTCATGGTCAACCTTCTCATCCCCGGCACCATCAAGTCCTTCGGGGTATTGTTCGTCGAATTCCTCGATGTATTTGACGCGTCACCGGCCGCAGCTGCATGGATACCGTCGCTTTGTTACTTCCTGTACAGTTCGCTGGGTAAGAAAACGGGTCGCGCGCCCGAGTCGAGTATTTCGAGGTCGCGGGTCTCCACGAAGTTTTTTTTAGATATCTCTCTCCCTCTCTCTCTCTTTCTTTCTCAGATCGGATCCCGTCAAGGGTTCCGTTTTTCCGCGACTTGTCCCAGTTTCGCGCTTACGTAATTCGCGATTAAATATTTAGGCGTGTCTCAATTCTGTTTGCCGCGTCTTATTGAAAACGCGAAAACGCCGTGTTTACATCAGTTCGATTACAGTTTCATGATACTTTTATGAAAGGAACTCCAGAGTTATTGGCAAACATTAACTTTCACATTACGTCATGATGCCACGCCGCGGGGCAGTATATATATTACATTCTTGTAAAAGGAAAAAGGAAGAAGGTGAATTCGCCGACAGATAGTAGATTCCGGGAAATATTTGCGTACTTGATTGCGTATTGTCTGCGCGATGTTTACGCTGCTTTCCCTCGGATAGATTATAAACCGCGTCATTGATGAATTCGAGTAAACATCGTTAGGAATTAATTTGTTTTATCTTTACGCGATATTATGTATTGTGTTTGACGAGAATCTGGATCACACCGACTGCACAATGTCTTCTCGTAAGAAGCGAAACCGATAATCGCGATAAGATTCCATCAAAATTCGAGGAATGAAGGATACATCTGTGTAAATAACGTTACATATTTTTAATTTATTTGTTTTTTTTTTGTTTAAATAATGTTATTCTCTAAGCAAAGCCGTTGTATTTTTGCATTTTCAATGATATCTTATTGTTTCAGGCCCACTTTCTAGTGTACTTTCGGTCAAGTATTCCTATCGCACGGTAACTTTAATAGGGGGAACATTCGCCGCGGCCGGGATGATGCTGAGTTATTTCGCGAGCTCTGTGGCCTTTCTATGCGTTAGGTAATGTATTTTTACTTTTAACACAAAACAGAGGTCAATACTGGTTATTAACTTGCGCAACGAATCTTCATAAAAACAATCGATATCGCATTCTGGCTCAAAAAAATATAGAAATTCTTCTAGATTTTAGTAAAAACAATATTTGTTAAAGCAAACTATTTCCTCGTTGTATCTATAGTTTTATAGTAATTAAGTAATAAAGTAAAATTAACTGCAAAAGTTTTTCCAAAGAAATTACAAGAAAATTTGCAGAATTACGAAGGCAAAATGCAAATGTTCGGAATCTATTCGGCATTAATAAACATGAGCGACGATATGAAAAAAAAATAAAAATATTCAATAAGTTTTACCTTTTGACTTAAAAAAATATTTAAATGTATGGAAGAAAATAAAAAAAAAAGTGCAAAGTTCAACATATTGGCAGCTTTATATATTCTCCCGAATATATTCGGAATATACGTTGCGTAACATATTATTATCATTATTATTATAAAGAAATTAATGTAAAGAATACGCGCACATATTTTTTTTTCTTATGTAATTCTCTCTGTTTCCAGTTATGGTGTACTCGTAGGTACGGGTGCTGGATTAGCATTTCCTCCGACTGTATATATCGTGACATCTTATTTTGTACGGCTACGAGGACTCGCCAACGGGCTCTGCATATCCGGCAGTGCGCTAGGTTCAATATTTCTTCCGCCTGTTCTGGGCTTTCTTCTACGAGAGTATGGTTACAGGTAAGTTTGCGATTGCACTCTTCAAAAAAATTAGAAAGTTTCTACGATCTGAGTAAAATTAATATTTTCTAAATAGTTTTTATTTTGTAAAAAAACGAATCTGTAATTTTAAATTGAGTATCACGTTAAAATTTTGAAAAAAATTTATAGATTAAAAAACAGCAACTCTCAGACATATTTAAGACATTATAGTAGATAAACTATATTATTTAATTTTAAAATTGATTTGTTTTATACTCTATAATCTATAATATAATTTATCTTTTGTCTTAAGTTTATAAATTTAGCACATTTAATTTAACAAATTTAACTGGATGTTAAAGTGTAATAATATATGGTTTCTTATGTAAAATAAAGAATAACAAGAGCGAGTAAAGAGGATAAATATAGCTAATCTCACACTTATTGAAAACTGATAAACGCTATATGTAACAAATAAAATTACTGTGAGATACTGTCCACTTATAAGACCTTATTTATAATTTTTTAATCGGTTACTATATCACTACGCACGCAATATATAGTAATCGTCATTATATCATTGATCGTCAATCTTTTCAGCAATAATAACAATTCGTAAAATTGATTGGCAATGTCTGTGTATCCGTTCACAGAGGCGCAGTGTTGGTAATGGGTGCTGTCACGCTAAACGTCTGGGCGAGCGCGCTCCTGTACCACCCGGTAGAATGGCACCTGGTGCCGGCTCGGCCTCCGGACGATAGCGACGCGCACGATAATGGGGAGACCATGTCGGTGACTGTCACCAGCACCCCTGAGCAAGCGACGGACAACAAGGGCAACAGCCAGCTGGCGTCACTGAGTAATTCGACGAACGAAAAGGCCGCGCCGATCGTGCCGAAGAGCGCGTCGAGCGTCGCCTTGGAATATTACAAGAACACGCCGGTGCAGGGTCGCACGCGAAAGATCAGCATGCCCACGGGACGTGAGATCAGCGGTCAGATGCACAGCACGCCGACGTTGCACGCCGTGCCGGAGCGCGGCGGTGCCATGGTCGAGTCCGGCAAGTATCCGAGAGCGGCGAGGTCACCGCTGCACTCGCCCAGCACGTCGTCTTTCAACTACGTCAGCACGCCGTACCACGGCAGCACGCTGTCGGTTCTGCACGCGGAACGCGCGTCCACGTTGACGCTGAACGCCATCTCCAGCACGTTCACGAGAAAGTCGACGACGAGGGAGAAGAAGAAGCAGCGCGTGCACGACGAGAAGGATCAGCAGAACAAATTCTTCGATTTCAGCTTGCTCAAGGATCCCATCTACCTCGTCATCCTCATCTCCAACTCCACGAACGCCATCAGCTACACCAATTTCGTCATCCTCCTGCCGGCCTACGCCATTTCGCTGGGTTTCAACAATTGGGACTCGTCGCTGTTGCTGTCGATCGTCTCCATGCTCGATCTGGTAGGCCGTATCGGCGGCTCCGCTCTCTCGGACATCAGGATCATGCCCAAGCATTGGTACTTCATCGGCGGTCTGCTCGCCTCCGGCATCTCTCTGGCCATCCTGCCCACCTCCGACACGTACGTCATACTGTCCGTTTACTGCGCCTTCTTCGGCCTCGCGTCCGGCATCTACGTCGGCATCACCGCCGTCATTATGGCCGATATGCTGGGCACGGAGAAGCTCACCTCGTCCTACGGCATCTCGTTGTTCGTCAACGGTGTCATCCAGTTGGTGGGTCCGCCGATTTGCGGCATAGTGTACGAGCAGATCGGCAGCTACGGGCCAATCTTCAGTATACTTGGCATCATTCTGGTGTTCGGCGCGTCTCTCTGGATCATAGTGCCGTTCATCCGAAAGAGGCAGGCAGCGTTGGAAAGCCCGCCAGTATAGACAAAGTATAATAGACCAAATAAACTAACAATAAGTAAAGTATAAAGACGTCTGTCTTCGTCGTTAGTTATTTGGAAATCGTAGTTCTTTTATTTTATTATTTTCGAAAATGATTTTTTTAGGATAATCGTGTATCGTATGCATATACACGCAGGCTAGAAAACCATCCCAAGAGAGTTTTCGAATTTCAAAATATATAAGATTATGAAGAATATTAAAAAATATAAAAAAAAATAAATAAATCGTCGAATGTGACTCGACATTTGCGAGGGCACGCACGAGCTTAATTTGTGCGGTTATTTAAAAGTAGCCGTGCTAAACAGCGTATATTTAAGTGTATGTGTGTATGTGTGCGTGCATGTGGCTGTATATTACAATTATATAATATAATTATATAATATTAAACTGTGATGTTAGCACGAGTGTCGTGTATCGAAGTTACATTGACGAAGTTTTCCGGCCGAGCGAGTAACAGCGAAAGGAAACATCGAAGTTTTCGCTTAGTCCGGCGACTTTACACACGGACCGTGTATCTATGATGATTAATTGCCGAATAATTATTGACTGTAATAACCATAACTGATCAAAATGCGGTAAATGTGGGGAAATCTTGTTATATATTAATCACTTTTTTGTTTATTGTCTTGAATTCCCGATGCTTCTATTGATTAATTTCTGTAAAACATCTCGGAAACGAAAAACGTCTATATTGTCATTACATTTTTCATTAACACATTGAACGATGAAATTTACTGTCACATTCATTCGCAATTTTGATTATTGTGTATACAGAGTGAAGTAATTCTATCATTTGGAATTTGTTTTCTTATGATGTAAAATGCAGTTTCATAATCTAAAAAAAAAAAATCACAGCGTAAACTTGTTTAATAGTTTATCCATTCATCTTTTCAAAGCAGGTAAAGACGATTTTATTAAGTGATATCCAACATTGTATACCATAAACATTGTATACGATTTTAAAACGAAAAATTGAGAATAGCGCACAAAGATTAACGAAATGCATTTAAAGTAGTACTTATGATGGTGAAGTGTAAAAAGTACTTAAAGTGAGCAATACTTAATACAATAGAAATGTAAAATATACATTTTATAAATAATTTTAAAGTTTTCTTGCAATATTTGAAAATGGATAGTGATAAAAAATATCTGTTATATTATTGATTTTTGAAAATCATATGAGAGACCAAATATTGATTGAATATGTTTTAAGATACAAAAAAAAGTTACGTCCAACGAAAATGACTTCACTCTGTGCCAGTAACAGGTTCTAATTTAATTCACATTTACCGCCAAATATGCGCCATTATAACGGCGATGAGATATCGCACAATGCAATCTTACGCGTCGTAGTCCATCTTTATAAAACAGATTATTTAGATAGATATTTCGAGATAAGAATTTTTGAGAAACACGTAAACGCGTCCTTCCTCGAAAGCGAAAAGAAAATCTCTTGCCTTACATCCGAAAAAAAAAAAAGAAAATTGTTCTCTCTCTGAAAGTAAAATTTTTTTCACCGGCACGAAGACTATAATCTAGTTTTATTCGAGTACTTAGTGGGAGAAACAGCGGTCGTGACTGGTGCTAGTTGCATCGGAACGAAAATGTTGCAACGGCGTAATTTAGCGAGTATACCAATGTCGTCTCTGATAGGCCTATGATAAAGTAAACCGTCACGCACTGTAGATATAGTGTCTCCTAAAGACTCGACCGTATGTAAATGCTACTTTTAATGCTAGATTGATCGAAAGTGGGTTCTACTTATAAGGAGCCGTCATCATAGTCACTGGGGAGGAGAATCACTTTCGAATAGAGGCTGCCCTTTTTTTTTCTAAATTGAGAATAAGATAATCGAAAGGCTCCGCAAGAAGTACAATACTTATGGCCGTATAAGCAGGTCATGTCGAGGTGAAGTGTAGGTTCTACGCCTTTCTAGCGTTATTACCGTCTTTCGGCGCACGAAAGAGATTCGGATCGACTCTTGTGTTCCAGGCTCTTTCAAAATCCGCCGGAAATAATGCCTTATGAGTAGATCGTAAGTAGTTCGTAAGTGTGTAACATATAAAAAAATATATTATGTTTATATAACTCTATACAAATACACAGAATTAAAAAAAAAATATTTCGGAATAGTTCATTGGTGTTTTTCCTACCGACTCGTCATATATTTAAAATTATTTAAATTATTTTCTTTCATTCACGCGTATTAATTTCTGTATATTTGTTATATTCTTATAATTAAATTACAAATTATAATTTTGTTTATATTATTAATAAAAGAAATTGAATAAAGTCGAAATTAATATGAAATACCACAAGAGTAAAAATTTTACGAAAGTGACATTAATAACGAATGATAGAAGCATAGCAATCAAAACTTAAATTTTTTAATCTGGATTATGTTTTGAAATAAATACAGCTGTAACATTTTTCTCTATATTTCCCAAATAAATGCCCAAATCAATTGGGCACTCAGAAATGGTTCACAAGAGAAAAGAATACTTGTTAATGTATATTACACTTTATCGAAATATTTATACTTGCTTGGACAACGACTATGATCTAAGTGAGAGCAATTATTTTTCCTTTGAGATAGGTTCAGCAGTTGAGGGAGCGTCCCGGAAGTTAGGAAACTGTTCCCACGGCGCGGCTAGTTCAAATTTACGAAACTCCTGAGTCAATTCTAATGGTTCAATCACTATTCTTTTGTGTTCGTCGTCATAACGAACCTGAAATAAACATAAATCATTGATTATTAGGACAATCAACATGAGAACATAAAATTTAATATTTCTAACTTCATTCTTAGATACTTAAATTGTTCTTTTAATAAGATTTTAATAACTGTAATTTTGGCAAGACAAAAATGATTGCAAGTAGATTCTTTAAAAAGTGCAAACAATTTAATGCTGCATGAAAATCAATCATATAAAAATTTGTATTAAATAAAATACCTCAACATATCCACTGAGTGGAAAATCTTTCCTTAGTGGATGCCCTTCAAAGCCATAATCTGTAAGAATCCTACGAAGATCAGGATGATTCGAGAAGAATACACCAAACATATCCCATATCTCTCGCTCATACCAATCAGCAGCTTTGAATATGCTGTTGATGGAGTCAACCGGCGTCAACTCGTCGGTGTAAGTTTTAACTCTGATACGTGAATTATATCGCAACGATAGTAGATTGTAGACAAGCTGTAATGATAAATACAGCACAACTTCAGACTACTTTGTTTATATGTAAAATTATAGTACTTATACTACTTTGTTTATATGTACAATCTCATTGCCTATTTTATGCAACCGTACATATTTATACTAATATAAAATATTCGTGTTCCTTTACATATAAGCAAATTTACCTCAAATCTGTACTGTCTACTGGGCACGTCTACAGCGGTAATATCTGCCAGACTAACAAACTGTGTGTTATGATGATCTTTTAAAAAGGTACACGTAGGAATAATGCCATCAGGGGCGATTAACAATTCCAGCTCGTCGCCAGCGGTCAGCTGTACTTGTTGTATGTATTTGGGTAGACAGTCGTTAATATAACGGCCAAAGTGTGTCAGACGGTCAACGTCGACATGACTGGGTTTCCGTACCGTAGCTGAAAGAATATTTGAATAAGTCAATATGATTTTGTTAAATACTTCGCATACACTGGATATTTCAGATTTATTTCTTTCGCTGATGGAAATTGAAGTGACAATCAATATATATATATATATATATATAATAATAAATATAAATATAATAGCAATAATATTATTATAATAATAAACCTGCAAAGTTTAGATGGATAATAATATAATAGCTAGGTAGATTATACAACTTTTTTTTGTGGACATTGTTAAGTTACAAATAAACAAAATGTACGTACGACGAGTCTCCGCTTTCTCGGTTTTCTCAGGATTCTCGCTGGAAGTCGTGCTGTTACATCTTACCGATGACGGAGAAGCATAACCTGTCAAACAAGTGCGTATGTTATTACATAATTCGATAGAAACATCACTCTTACGATTGATGTTATATTACATTTCGGCGTAGTAATTGGCAAATTTCGCGATAGTCTCCAACAGTTTCTCAATATCGCCGTCATTTTCCCAAAGAATGTTTTAAACACAATTATAAACACACATTAGCGAAACATATCCTGTAACCTGCAACTTGGGCGACCACCAGCGACCCATATTGACAGACACTTGTACCACTACGTGTTCAACGGTGATAATATTGCCATCTAAGATCCGATAACAGCTTTTTTGAAGAGGTAATCAATTTAATGGAATTTTCAATTTTTTGTTGAATATGGAAAAAAGATAAAAGGATTAAAATATAAATGATTTTTATTTTGTACAGATTTTGTATAAAATTAGCGTTGTTTTGTCTTTTTAATGCTTTTATTTAAATTTATTCTATTTTTTTTATAAATACAGAAACTCTTATTTATAAAAACTATATCTTCCAATAACATCAATTTATTAAATTTTTCTTATTTTAATTAAACTTACATTTTTTAATATCGTAATAAAGTACATATAAAAGGCATAATATATAAAAAAGGCACACATTTTAAATATTAATAATACCTAATGTGTAATTTAAACAAGCATAATTATTTTACTTACTGTGTATTATACTAAATATTTTTTAAAAGTTATATTTATCCAAAAAATTTTATATTTTATATTTTAATTTTACAATAAATTATTTACGTAATCGAGCTGAACTTCTTCTTGTAGTTTCCTGCGATGATTTATTGAGTTTATTTCGTTTTGCAGACGGTGACGCATTGATATTACTGTGTACTGCCTTTGCATCTTCCTTTGCACGTTCTCTTCTTTTGCCTACAAAGAAAATAAATAAATTTGTATTACTTGTTATTTTATCACTTTTATTATTTTGCAAAATTATACATATGTAACTACAAAAACTAGAGGATGAGTTATGAATTTAGTTATAGCATAAAATAATTTTAAGAATGTTTGATATTTTATTGTTAATTTATGTGCATATATAAATGAAAAAAATATATATATACAATATACACACATGTATACACACGCACACTTTATTTGTTATATATTATTGTTGTACTATTTAGATTTAGAATGTATTTGGAATAATTCTATATAATATTATATAGTGAATTAAAAATTATATGATATAATATGATATCATGAATTAAATTATAAACGAACAAAAGTCTAACTTGAAATTTTAAAGAAAATTTTTGGTGAATAAATAAGAATTTCTTGTTCATATATGTATATGTGCATATAATACTGCAAATAAGAAATTGTTATTCACCAAAAATCGACTATAATATTAAAAGTTGTTTGTAGTGCAAATTATTTAATTACATTGATTAAAAAAAAAATCAAATGAAGAAACAAATACCGTGTTTAGACTTCGAAGTAACTGAGTCTTTATCGACATCGATATTACCCTCATTCTCCGATGATTTTGCCGGAGAAATCTTTTTATTATTGATTAGTTTTTCTTTACTATTTTTTGCTGTGAAATAAATACAAAATTATTTTTATTTATATAATTAAACATTATACATAAATAAAAAAGTCACATACACATATAATATCAACAAATGCCCCGTCTTATATAATTTTATTACATAAGATGGGGTATTTGATTTTGTAATCTAAAATCTAAATTATGCATAAAATTATCGAAAAACACTCCACAAATTTCGTAATTTTATAGAAAAAAAAAATGTAACAATTTTATATTATAATTATGTTTTCTTTGAGATATCTCAATGTGCATTTTATACATATATGTAATTATTGTACAAGCAATTATTGTTTATGTTACAATCTAAATTATCTGTATTATGCACAGCTGTTAGTATTGTGTTTATGTTTAATTATACACAAATGTACAAAAAAAAAACATTAATGAAACCGATTTCGAACTCACATTTTACAATGGATGCATTGTCTACATCTTCCTCAGAATCATCGGAGCTGTCTTCGTCTTCATCGCTCGTGCTCTTGCGTCTGCTTCGACGAACATTTCTCTTGTTCTTCGGCACGACAGACGGTGGTGGCATCAAATCTCTATCAGTCATCTCGGTATCTTCTTTGGCCTCCACAAGTTCCTGTATTTTCTCTTCCAATTCCATACAAGCGGCCTTCGCCTCCGCCTTCTTCTTCGTTTGCTCGATTATACTTTGCAAGGCCATTAATACCGGCTTATAATGAATCTTTTCCTTCAATAGCGGTAAACTTTCGATGAGACGTCGTATGCCTTTAAGAAAGATAAAACAAAATTATACTGTCCTCTCTTTTGATTGAAATTATGTTATTAAATGTAAATTGATATACTTACTTTTTCCGCTGAATTGCAAGAGCGAAAGGCAGTAGGAAAGATCACGCCACTGCCTCTCTGCTCCGGCTAACTTAAATCTGGCGCAAATCTTATCAATTATGGTATCGATTTGCTTCTCCTTCTGCATCAGGCCGAGAATATACCTGCAAATTATAATATTTTTGAAGCGTTCATATTTTTTGCCACTAAACATAAAAGTACAGTGCTTACCTAATGGTTTCCTGGAAATGTTTCTCCTCGAGATTTAACTGAGGATCCGCTAGGCGTGATAATATATCAGGCACTATATTGTACAAAGCGTTGCCTTTTTGAGCGAGTTGAGCGAAGAATTCCTTCGTCTCCCGGCGTATCTGTTCATCCTCATCGATAACGCAAAGAGCTAATTCCGAAACCTGTCCCTTCACGCGTATCATTTCCCTCATTATCAGATTCGACAACATACGAACACATGTCCTACGCACGTTCACATCCTCATCTCGAAGTCTATAAAGATAAACGTGTATATAAATATTGGTATAATAATATTACATCATATTCCTCCAATCTTTTTGCTTTTTTTGTGAAAAATAAGATAAAATGTTGTGTAAACAAAAGTTTGAGAAAAATTTATAACTTTTTGGAGTATCATTCTTTACGTCATAAAATATAATTGTCAATGTTAATTTGAAATATAATCATCGATATTAATTTGATTAAGATTTTGATTTTAAATGCTGAAGATTGATGTGCAAAAGCGAATTTACCTGCCATAGATGTGTTTCGACCACGGTTCCACTTGATTGGGGAACCTTGTGGCAAGATCGCTTAATCCGACCAGCATATTCGATCGGATCCCAGGATATCGCGATCGCTCCAATATGGTGATCAAGAGTTGCAGAGATTGTCCGCAAAATTCGGAGCTGATCGTCATCATTTTGCTAAGCGCGAGCGAACCTGCAGCTTGCACGTTCTCGTTGTTATACTTGTCGGGATATTGGCATACATCCAATATCAGCGGACTGTAAAATAATCGCACGTACATTAATTTCGGTATAACAATAGTATATTAAATTCGGTACTGACTATGCCATTCTTGCAATTCTCAATAGTTAATTTTCTCTGTCAATCTTAATTCTCAATACGTACATAAATTTCGCGAGCAGGCCGTTCCCGGTAACGATTTCGTTTTCGAGTGCGCCGCTCACCAACTCCGCATCGGCGTCGTCCATTGCGCCCTCCAAGGCTTCTTCTCCGTTATCTTCACTGATCATCGAGATTTCTTTACTTCGAGAGCTCGTCGAGGCTCGCCGTGTGCTCGAGGTCGACGCGTTCGCTCTAGCTCTACTGTCTGGCGTCGAAAACGCGCCCTTCGGCGTTCGTTTCTTTTTCTTACCCTGCATCTCTCGTAGCGTGTTTCTGCGTTTCAGTTCCTTATAAATGGACACGTCTAGGTGAACCAATTGTAGGATGGCAACGTGTCCGATTATGTAAAGCAATTTGGAGAGTACAGTGCTCGACACTTCCGGTACTTGATTCGCTTCTTCACTCATAAACTGACCCTTCTCGGTGATGATCAATAACAGTTTCTTTATCAACTTGTCCGGTTGATTCGCTAACTGCAATTAAAGTAAAAAATTCTCTCTCAGCGCGATATTCCAAATGTATTTAATTAACACGCGGAAAATCTCACTTACATGATATATAGCATTAAGCGCATCCGTCGCGAAAGAGATGTAAGCGTTCTCCTCCTCGCTAGTAAAAAAATCTATTAATAATGTCAGGATCTCGTTGAACATATCGTGATCGTTGGGATACCTATACGAGAAAATATATGTTTTTGATTAACAACTTCAACAAATAGCTTCGAATTGCTTTCACCGCTTTGGAGGTTTACCTTAAAGCCGGTTTTTCGACATCCTTGCTATTCTGTTTTATCTTTAGCAACATTCTGCAAGTATCCCGCGCTAAAAGAAGATCGTCCTTCGCGCGCGGACCTAATCCAATCTTTATTAACACGTCCAGATTGTCAGTTGCTATGTTAGACTTCGCCTGAGCTATCATCGTTATTATCATTAGCGCGGCTCTGCTATCTATTGGCGACGTGTCCGGATATTTCATGGAGAACTTTTCCCATAATACCTACAAATCCAACACATTTATTAGAATGCATTCTCAATTTGTCTTTAAAACCATCGAAATATTTATTATCGAAATAATTTCAAATATAATTAGGAATAACGCAAAAGAGAGTGGTCGACTTGTAGTCAGCAAGTTCCGGATTTGATCGACTTTCATCATATATAAATTTCGGTTTTACACAAGTTAATTGGAGAGTTTGAAAATTGTGAAGGGGCTTGCTGATTTCGGGAATATTTTGAACTATGAATTATGTTTACCTGTAGCAATTCGCTGTTTAACTCTCCGTTCTCATACCACGTCACAATCAGCAGAGTCAAAGCCGGGCTCTGTCCAGGCTTCAACTCCTTCAGCAATTCGATCAGACGATTCGCACGAGCAACGGCTATTTGACGGCTCGATCGTTTGTTGTTATTCGTATTATCAAGGTAGATCTCTTTGTACACCTCGGCCACGTTATTGCGCACAGACTGATCGCGGTGGAACACTTGGAATAGAGCCTCGCGCATAGAGTGGGCCGCTCCAGTTACTCCGAATTGGAAAGCAGTCCCTAAAAACGTGCACGATTCAACGGCGTCTCCAGCGGAAGTAGAAAACAGCAATTTTTCCGCCATCGGTATCGCCTTCTCCAACTCGGTCGCAAACTCCAGACAATTCTGCAGAAAAAAAAATGCAATAATAACAGTTTAAGAGAAATCGCAACACGTTCGTATTTATGTCGCGTACTTTTAAGTAATTTATAACGCGCTTTCGCAATCTTAATTCCTCTTTCATCTTGTTGTCTCGTTCCGATTTTTCCGCGTTGTTCGCATTTTCGTCTTCGTCATCTGCCGATTTATTCTCTGACTCCATGAAAATCTTGATTAAGAAGGTAAATAAACATTCCTCCTTCGCTGCAGCGGAAAGATTTTCCATTTCAGGAGCTTCCTCCAATTTCGTACACGTCTGCCACAGGTACGTCACTGCTTCAGTGACTTTTCGGTTTAATAATAACTGTCTCACGTTCTCGAACACGTGATTTGGATCGGTGTTCTCTTCTTGTTCTACATCTACGAAGAAATGCGCAATTCTTTCTTGTAATATATTTTGCAAGCGAATAGTAAAGCTAAAGATTAATTTATTTAAAAAAATAATATAAATTATTTATAATACGAACTATTCACGCATTCCGCTTCATTTTCCACGATCTTTTTTATTGCTGCCTTTATATCTGGTTCTAAATCAGTCCAAAACTCGAATCTCTGCTCGTGACCACGTCCACTAGCACTCACGATGTGAGCTTGTAATTCTTGCAGTTTTGCCATCTCCTTTTCCAACGAATCAGAGAGTTCAACGCAATTCAACTGCATAGACAAACAGGCTCAGTTTAGTCATAAAGAAAAAAAAAAAGGAAACGTTTCGTTTTCGAGTTTTATGTACCTTGCCGGCGAAAGGATTACTTTGCAACAGGGTGCGCAGCAATTGAAGAGCCTGCTTGCGGACATTCGCGCTCTTATCTTCTAAACGTAACGCGGCGCAGGCTAAAAGCTTTCCGTGTCTCGCTAGTGGCACAGCGCCTTCGCAGCACAAGCGTTGCCAGATATGAAGCACTTTCGATCTCACATAAGCATTGCAATCCAAGATGTGCTCTTCCAAATTGTCCAGACATTCATCGCGTTGCTCCTTCTGTTCATCCGTAAGATCTTCGCCGGTCAGTGCCTTTTGCACCACAGCACCCAAGACTCCAATCACACAGTTCCTCATTGTGTAAAACTAAGAGAATTTCAAATAAAATTCTAATTAATTTCTAAGGTATCTGCAAGGCATCTAAAAGTTTTAATTCTAAGTAGAATTCTAAGTGTAATTTAATATTTTCCTATAAATAAACAATTGCTCAGCCGATAGCAAAGAATTGTGGCGAAAACATACCTCATTTGACAGGTAATCTGTGATATCATCGAGAATAGGAATTATGAGATTGGGCTGCGAAATCGCGATATTCTCGAGAAACGTGGATGTGTTGCGGCTGTCCGCCTCGCTAATTTCGCTTTGTCCGATCTCATTCATCACCTCCCTTATCAAACCGTTGCAGCCACAGTCGGTGACCATATGTACCACGCCAGCCGCTATGGGTATCGCCAGTGCGTCGTATAACTTCACCAACTGCAACATTACAAATGTGTTATACATATATTTTTTTTAAGTAGAAATTGCACATAGTTTATTCAAATAAGTGTACCTGAATAATCCTCACAACGCAAGTTATTCCATGATTATATTTTTTTATCAAAGTTCCCAGAATCTGTTTGTAGCAAAACAAAAATATGTAGTAATTAAATATTATATACAAGATTCATACATACATACATATATATATATATATATATATGCAAATGTAATTAGCAATACCTCAAATATAGTTTGTCTTGTGTGCTTTTGCTTAGCATCCTTGCTCTGTTCTAATATCTTGTAACATATCTGCGCTAAAATCCTGCAAATATTATAATAAACATTTTACACACAGTTCTACCCAGTATCAGTTCTTTATTGGTATTTTTGAATCATTTACTTAGCTAGAGTCTAAATTTTTTCTCAATTGGCACACATTACAGTTATAAATAAGACATTATTTTAGAATTAATTTAGTTAATCCCTGCTATATAACTTACATGACAAATGAATTATCGACAATTGGTGGTCTCCAAATTTTGTACAATGGGACCTGCAGCCATCGATACAGAAGTTCCAAAGCTTTCTGCCTGGATTGCTCCCACTCTTCTTCGATATCCGACTTTGTGGCTTTCTTACGCTACAAAAGAACGCACACACTCACGTCTTCAGCTAAATAATTTCTTACTATACTCTTAATATCACAGATAAGCAGTTTCATACTTTTCCAATATTACTCTCGTTTGCATTCTTTATATGATCTTCTATGTGACAGATAAAGCATGAGAATAAATATGCCAACATATTGTTAATGCATAAATACGTTTGCCTGTCTTCTTCCTCTGTAATATCCTTGCCATAGTCAAATATTTTTTCCAAGTCATCTACGAGTATCTCCACAGCTGAAAATCACATGTACAAATCTGTATAAGATAGTTTACTTTCATCAATTATGTAATTATATCTATTGCAAAAGTAATATCATTATAATATATATATGAAATATCTCGCAAACAATGTTACCCTTGTTAATTCTATTGAAGGAACGCAGCCAGATGTCAACCTCCACTTTACTGCCGTGAATAATAACAGAGAAAAATGTGTCAAAATGATTCAGAATAAAATGCGCACCGTTTGCTTGTAATTCTGATCGCGTAGCTGTAAAATACAAATTAAAATAGTTACAGACTATCGTAATTGCAACTGTTATTCTAATTACTTATACCCAATGACACACTCACAATAATGTATTACAAAAGCTTATTAATTGAAGGGCTTGCTGCAGCAATGGGCTAACTCACGTTTTATAAGAAAAAGTTAAAGTGATAAACTCTAGAGTTGATTTTCTCTGTTTTTTAATAAAATATCATAAAAATGCAGTCTGCTGTTGCAGCTAGACCTTCAATCATAAACAATTCGAAATAAAACTTACCATCGAGAGCTTGTGGTACCGTCCGTAGAGGAGTAATTTCTTCGACAAAATACTGTCCAGCATGAGACGTCAATAGCTCGTCCTTTACCAAGGGAATCACGAAATTCTTCACCATTTTCAGAGAGTGTCGAACTCAGATATCATAAAAAATGTCAAATAAAGTTCTTCTTAGCGTGCTATGTCATTTTCGCAATAAATGTCCAAAAATTATAATTCGTTATTTACTGTTCGAACAATTCAATCAAAATATTTTCTCTTTTCTTTCTCTCTTTCTACCAAATATTCTATTCAATCGAGTTTAACCAAAAACACATCAAAACTAACCAACAAAACTCGTGTCGAGTATACCGACTCTTTTTCAAATTCAATGCTGCCAACCCATAGACTTATAAGATAGATCTAGTAAGGGACTCTAGCGGCACGCAGTCTAGTCTAGTGCTCGTGACAAGTCGTGTGTAGAGTCCTAGATTATCAGAGAAGCGCGACCGGTGTTACGAGTCCTGATTGGACACGCAAATGGCCAATCATAAGATTGATTTATCGCTATTATAAATGGCTGCCGAATAAATCAAACTTATGATTGGTCATTCGACGCCATTTTTAATATTTTCTAGTACTTTTGCGATACTGCCATAAGCCGGTCGCGCTTCTCTGATAATCTAGGACTCTAGTCGTGTGATGAAAAGAGGACAAGTGACGTCTGTAATATGGCCGATGTATTACATATGTGCCTAGAAAATACGTGCCTGAGGTTAAGATTCTTAGGTTAAAGATTGCAATATGCCTGTATCTTGCACCATTAAAAGTTGTAAAAGTACAAAACGAAAGAATAATTTAGAGATAACATTTCATAAGTAAGTAATCAATTTACTTTTATTTCAGAGGTAACCAAATCTCTAGCGATTTTTACTACGACTTTCAATATAGAGATATATCAAGGTCTATTTTGATTTGCAATTGTGAATGCACAGTATTTTTGAATATAATGATGTTTTGCACAATTTATCTTTAACAATCATAAGGTGTTTGAAAAAAAACCTGGACACATCGCTCACAGATATATTAGACAAATTAGATAAAAATAATCTCACGATGTTGTGTAAAATTAGCTCGTTTAAGATTTAAATGAATCTGAGATTTTTATTTTTCGTTTGATCAGCTTGATTACCTGGGAAAGACAGCCCACTTTTTCTGGTCCATTCTGTATATTACATTTTTTTTAAATCAATTTTTTCGATTTTCATTTAAAAATGAAAAAATCTTGCACTATTAAAAGTCTCTACCTTGGCGATTTTTATTATGATTTTCAATCTAGAGATATATCAAGGTCTATTTTGATTTGTAATTGTAAATGCGCCCAGTATTTTTGAATAATATTTTGCACAATTTACCTTTAATAATCGTAAGGTGTTCGAAAAAAACCTGAATACATTGCTCACAGATGTATCAGACAAATTAGATAAAAATTATCTCACAATTTTATGTTAAATTAGCTTATTTAAGGCTTAAAAATGGGTTTTTCTGGGATTTTAATTTTTCGTTTGATCAGTTTGATTACCTTGGGAAAGACAGCTCACTTTTTCTAGATCTATTCTGTACATTATATTCTTTATATCAATTGTTTAGATTTCCACTTAAAAATGAAAAAATTCTGAAGTATTGGATTGCGGCTACAGGACGAGACAATTGGATTCCATATTTAGATGCCCGAATATGCAGTTTGCATTTTGTAAATAACGATTACTATAACGATACACAAAGCAGCCGAAAACGATATTTAAAACCAGATGTAATACCAACGCAACATGTACACACAAATATATTGCAAGTATTCCAGCAAGATACAGCGAATAATATCAAATGTAAGTTTATAATATTTAATATTAAATTATAAATATCAAAGATCATAGTAACAAGATAACTGAATAGATATAAAATGTGAATCAGAATATTATACCTTGTATTTTATACTGAAAGTTAATGAAATAAACAAATTGAAAATGTTAGACTCTAACAAATTAAATCAAAATATAATAGTAATGCTACACAATACAACACTTGATTGATTGTTTATGTACATAAGTGCATAAGTTTGTTTAAATAATTGAACAAAAGTAAATGTTACTTATATTCATAAGAAACTGACGCAATCGTCCAGTATCGGTTTGTATTGACATTATTATTATATTTTGATACAGTACATACAGTAGTAAAGAAAATAAAAAGAAGTGTTTATTATAGGTAATGCAATAACACCTAACAATGATGTTATTTCGGAGGACTTGACTAATCAACAGACTGAAAATTACGAAATTGTAGTGAAATCAGAAGGTGTGTAAATTTTCTTAAGAAAAAGAAAATAATTATATCCAATAAATTAGAATACTTGTATTTTGTACTTTATAGTGAAAATTAATGAAATATATAGTAGATACAGTAATAAATAAAATAGAATTCACTTATTATAGATAATCCAAAGAATAATATTACCTGGGAAGAAGATTTGACGAATCAGCAGAGTGAAAATTATGAAACTATAGTGGTATCGAAATGTATGCATACACTTTTTTAAGAAAGAAAAATTAATTATATTTATACACTAATTTACTTACTAATTTAATAATTTAACACTTTACTAATATATTACAGGTTCCAACTGTTTAAATTTTAATGATGTATTGCTTGAAAATCAAAAATTACGTAAGATATTAGAAGATCTAAAAGTATTACAGGAAAAACGTTTAAATCAGCAGGCAGAAATGTTTCATACTTTGATGCGTAATAACGAAGCAGCATTGAAACAAAAATTGGAGGTGGTTGGAAGGAAAAATAAAACCTTGAACAAAAGCATAAAACGGAAAGGAGAAAATATCAAAAGCAATTTAAAATCATTAATTGAAGTATTAAAAAGCAGAAATATTTCGGAAAATGATAATGTGTTTAAATTAATTAAGGAATTTGGTAACTACCTTTATTTAAAAAAAAAAAAATGGAATAAATTTTTTTGACGATGAAATGACGAAATATGTGCTATATAATATAATAAATACATCATATAATTTATGTATTTCACATTTTTAAATTATTTTGTAATATTGTATTAAAAATTTTTTCAATTTTTAAGAAATGTACATTTAGAGTATATATATATCAGTTTTTTTATCTATAAGCATTTTTATTTTGTTTTCTGTGATGTTAGATTATCTGTCAATTTAACAACGCAGAATTTTTCGTTAGTCAAGTTGACGTAATCTTTCTATTGCAGGTAATATAATGCCATCATATTGTAGTGTGGCAAATTGTTTCAATAATTCCGAGCAAAGTTATGCACTGTTTAGATATCCTCAAGATGAGAAATTAAGAAGGAAATGGATTAGTGCAATAGGGAGAGATGAAAATTGGTCACCTAGCAGTTCTCAAAGAGTTTGCGAGGTCCGTAGCGATGCTTACGTATTTACTGACTTTACGCTTCAGAAGATTACAAGTGTAACAACATAATTTGTCCAATACAAAGTATGTGAATTTTTTTGTGTAGGTACATTTCAAGCCATCTGACATCGAGTTTATTGCTGGGCGCAAGCGAGTTAAGTGTGGCGCAGTTCCCTTTCGCTTCTGCGTGTGGCCTTCTACGGAGGACCGAGAGAACTGTCTAAGAAGAACCAGACATGATCACACATATAATGCTAATGAGCATAAGACAAGTTGCAATATGCAGAAAAAGCAGACTATTCTCTCTTCGCAATCACTATCAAGACAAAAATTAATAGAAAATAACGAGCGACTAAAATATATAATTGAAAATGATCATACATATGTCATGTCAGGCCAGCAAAAACCACTAACGTCAACGATACTCGACAAGATGTCTATCAAGAAATATTTTAGAAAGAAGACAATAAACTTAGTGAAACATCAATATGGCTGTGTAAAGACTTGCGAACCATTAATTACTGAGGAAATAAAAGCTATTGACCAGTCCAAAGACATAACAGAAGAGAAAGACAATGTGTGCAGCCAGTGGATAAGAATGATAACTTACTGAATAACTTCATAAAAATGAACAATTGCTGAACGAAATAAAAGGCATTGCGGAAGAAATGGTAAAAACAGAAAAGGACTGAAGAGAGTGATTTAAATAGGAATGAATCTAAGATTTAGGTAGGAATGAAAGATGCACGAAGAAAACTATGATGAACCAAAAATAGATTAAACTATTTCTTATTTATAAGAAACATCTACAAGAAAAGTGAAAAATTGACTGAAGATTAGTGGAAGATTTTGGAAGCTGAGCAAAGGTTTGAAATAGTCTAAAGAAAACAATTTTAAAAGCATTGAGTTCCTGTTTCACTTTTAGCATTAAGGGTTGCAATTATATAAGAGAAGTTGCTTCTTTTTCTTCAATCAGATTTTACAGCAAAGTGTTAAAAAATATTTGTTTTGTTTGTACCAGAATTTTTGACAATATTTTTTTTATTTGAAAAAAAACCCCTATTTAAAAAAAGTAGATATAAGTAAAATTCGATAGAAAAGCATAAATAACACATAAGATATTAATTTTTTTAATTATTATAAATAAATGAACGCTTGAAATTATTTAAATAATATATTTATAAGAAGTTGGAGTTCTTTCTGATAGCATTTTAATAATATAAATAATTTTTACTTATATCTGTGATACAATAAACTGAATATATCAAACAAATAGAAACGTAAATATTAATATTCTCATATAGCTTAGAATTAACAAATTAGTATTACGCGAACCCTGATATCTCAGAATTGCTTTTAGTAATGAATCATGATGAGTTATTGCTATCAGCTGGACAGAATAGTCTTAAATGTGCTGTGTCGTTCCAACGCTTGTAACTCAACTAGAATGGTAGCTATGGTGTGTCTCAATTGGTGAAACTTTGCCAAAGATAATTCAAACGTCACACATTCGCCTGTGTTAAATGTCCATTCCATCATGATGTTTGGCTCTAGTACTCTGTTTAACATGCTGGAATATACAGAAAAATATATAAGAATACATCCTCTTCAAAATATTATTTTATGATAAATATCTGCTCGAAATCCATAACATACTTAGATGAAATAGTAATATCTATACGCCACTTGCAGGATGTGAGTTGGGGATTAAACTTTGTTCTCTGAATTAAACCTGACAATAGGTCTGTTTGTTTCGGACCATAAATCACGGAGGATAAATCTTCCGCACATTCCGAATTCAGTCTGTAATATGCATAAAGAACAGCTAAGAAGAATTGTACAATTTTCATTCAGTAAAATTCCATACGACTTTTATTAAGTATTATTATAAAAAAAAAGTATATTAAATTTTATTCTTTATAACATAATGAATTATAAAATCGAGCTATAGAATCTACGGGCTATAGAATCTAGCATACATTATTTAGCGTGTAAACGAACTTACTTCAGTTCTTCCAAGTATTGTTTAAACTCTGCAGGTTTGATATTATGGCACTGCGAACGTAGATGTATTTTCAAAATTGTAAGAACAGCTGCATAATACTCGTCCACGTGTTCTTCGGGTATGCTGTATTTCTTACTTATCCGTTCTAATACACCTTCCTCTATATGTTCCAACTCTATCGCTTTCACTGCGACTATAATTTTTTAGGAAATTATACATATACATATAAAATGTATATGAAATACGATGTATAGAAAAATTAGATAAACCTCTTATTTTTGTTATATATAGTTATGTTTTCATGCAGTATTTAATTTACTATTTTTGTTTAATTCAATTGTATTTTTCAGGGAATAATTATAATTTATATTTTTAAAAGAAATATACAACTCACGCTGTATTAGTGGACGCGCGAATGTTTTCTTTAATTCCGCAAGATACTTCGTTTTACTCCCTAAAGCGCTCAACAGCTGCGTTTGAAGAGGAGTTGTCATTGTTAGTTGTTACAGTGGCATTTGAGAATAACTTTGATAAATTTCAATGGATACCTTAACCAAAAATTCTGGTGTTCACATGAAAATTGAACGTACTGCCATCTGTCGGAAACTAGAATGCCACAAGTAACATATCACCGATGTGAGATGATGTGAGGACGCTGGACGATGCGAGGTATTTAATCATTTCAACTCTGACAATAAATCTAAATTTCGTTTGAATGAGCCAAGTAAGGAAATTAATTGATAATTTAATTGTAAACATTATCGATTGCCAATATAAATTTCTCTACCACTGATATACATTAAATGTCCAATATTCATGATTTTTATACAGATACTTTATAAATATTTAGCACATGTTTATAAAAAGTTGCATTCATAAAATTTGTATATATATATGTATATATATATATATTTACATCGTAAAATTGTATTTTTTCCCTATTTTTTTTATGTAAAAAGTGGGATGATCGAAACGGACAATAATATCATGTTTTTCTGTCATTCTAAAAGCCACAAAAATTTATCCAATGTCAATAGTTTTTGATGTAGTAATCTATATTGCAGTAATACGACAAATACTATACTCTTGCTTATAAACGTTCGTTATAAAATTGGTATTGCATTCGACAAGTAAATACTTCGATCGTATTTATGACGTGAATGTAATTAATAGTTTAATTGAAGGAGGCATTATATATACTGATACATGATAACAGTATCGTTAAAGATAAATTGTTAATTGTAGTGTAATGGGACGCACTGCACGAGTTTCTCATTCACTAGTGCGTGTAAAATTATATAAATTTTAACATTTTGGGCTTGATATACGATAAGAAAATGGAATAAATTCCCTGATATACTTGGTTGAAGTCAAAGCTTCTAACTGACCGTGTGGCCTAATGGATAAGGCGTCGGACTTCGGATCCGAAGATTGCAGGTTCGAGTCCTGTCACGGTCGCAATCGATTAATTTTTTTTGTACGAAACACAATGATCGTGACAAAATTTTCCTATAAATTCGATTTAATTTTTTTAATCCTTAATAGTGGCGATTCGTCTTAAATTAACAGTGCACAAGAATATTTTTGTAATTTACTTTTAAAATTACATAATTAAAATTTATTAATACTAATTAATTTAACTTTAAATTAACGTAAATTTCTTTGTATTATTCAATGCCTAATTTATGTAATAGACAAATTAATAGATTATATATAATATATATATTTTATATATATATTTTACCGGAAGCATTTTATTATATATTATATATTATATATTTTACGAGATATTTTATTTATTGCTATTGTCTTTATATTGTGTTAATAATAATATATTTTACTTGAATTTTTTAACTTCCAATTATATTCATACACGGTATAAGTGAACGACCTCGAAACATTTTCTCGAATAATGATAAATAATATATGATATAGAAAGCCACGAAGATTGAAAGAAGGGAAATGCGCGATGTCGCGTGCTATGACATTATCAAGAAAGGTCGAGGGTTTCTGAAACATTTACCTACGTTACTTCATAGCCCTTAAATCATTCTAGCCGAATTCTCTATAGTAAAATGTCGTCGCGACTCATTTATTACATAAAATTGTCGATATTATGTTGACAACTGACTTAAAAATGTGTGGGCGGCATTTTTGATCGCCATCAATGGCAATTAAATTTTAATTATAATCCTATTACTGAGAATAATATAACAAAGCGTCTGTAACAATAATTTATTATATATAATTATTTATTAATAGAGAGAAATATTCTTTAAACAATTCTTCTAAAAAATGTAACTAAACTTTTTATAAATTTTTACAAAATTGTTTATGCAAATCTAAATTATTATCTTAGCAACGCGACTTGAAAATATTTACTAAAAAAATTGTTTCTAAGCTATTTACCAACACATATATAAAGAGTAACTATAAGATCCGATATTCTAGCAAAATTATTTGGTAAATTGTTTCATGTCTTAGGTAAAAATATTTTAATGTTTAAAAATTTTAGTTTTTTAAATACGGGTTAAACTCTACAATATGATGTATGCATTGGAAAGAACCCCTCACCAACCTTCGATAGCTCAGTTGGTAGAGCGGTGGACTGTAGTCGGAGTGCAATGTATAGATATCCATAGGTCGCTGGTTCAAATCCGGCTCGAAGGAATCTTTTGATATTTTTTTAAAGATTTTTTTATTAGGTCTTATTAAGATAACATCTTGTAAAAGATATTTTATCCCTATTTTAAAAATTATTCTTTTTTTTTAACGTAATTGTATGTCATATGAATGTAATTTTCATATGAATGTAAATAAAAGAGACTATGTTTACGCTACTGTATCAATTTTTATAATTTTATCAGAATGAATTTTTTATTTTTATCAGAATGAATCATAATGTACCATAATGGATTTTCATAAATTAATTTTTGTAATAAACAATAAAAATGTTTTTACTTAAGTGCAATAATAAATATCTTGAAAAAAAGATATACTAATTGTTAGATATTTTATAAATATTATATTAAAATTTTAAACAAGAAATGTAAATTATTACTGATATTACCATATTATTAATATTATTTTTTTTATTATGTCCTGTTTACATTGTTTTTAGCTTTTTATTGTGACATTAAATAATAAGAAATACATTTTGATATAAATTATAGGAAATAAAATTCTTTTTTAATTATTTTAATTTAATATTTTTTAATACAACTCTGTGTGATATTTATTAAATAATTTATTCTTTTTTGTTTATTAAACGGGATCAATTGCGTTACATTATACAAAATAAAAATGCAAAGTTATTTTTATAATTAATCAAATTACTTAGAGGATATTTTCTTCAGAGGTAAATATACGGACAACAAAAAGAAAGAGAGAGAGAGGGGGGGGGAGAGAGAGAGAGAGAGAGAGAGACTAAAAATAGCATTTCATTTATCATTCACACGTGCAGTGCTGCGTGAAAAGTGATTTCATGGTTTTTCGTATGAACTATTGATTCTATGTTTTCTCTTTAAAAAAAGCAATTGGAATAGAACGAAAACCAGAACCTTTTCTATTTAATTAGAAACTGTTACGTTGAGATACAGATTGTTTGACACAGGACTAAACTCAAAATTGTAAAAATTTCAAATATTAAAAATTTGAAGGTATCGTTTCTGATGTATTACGAAAAGCTAAGGGTGAAATTAATCTTAATCATTTAAAAGAGGAATAATAAAAAGGAGAGCAGCTCGTATTTTTGCAAGCAATTAGAATAAAAAATCAGGTCAATTAAACGAGCAAAAGAGAGAGGGAGAGAGTGAGAGAGGAGGGGGAGAGGTCACAATTTAAATATCATTTATTAAAAAGAGTCAATCATATTACTCACAGAATTTTTGAAACGTTTCCAACTTGACTTATTGTTAGTCATTCTCACTCATATAATAAAAATAGATAAATTAAGATAAGCATGGAAACAAAATGAACAGATAAACAAGAACATATTTAATAGGTCGAAGCATAAAATATTATATTACAAAATAAAACAAAACGGATAACACTTTTGCTACCTAAAAGATAAAAATCGGGACTGTTCATTTGCAAGCGATGAAGAGTGGAGTCAGCAAAAAAATTGTCAAATTGATGTCTATGAAACGAATGAAATCTTTATGTGCGTCCAAATGAAGGAGTCAGAATAGGAACTAAATTAAAATACGGTTGGATTGTGTGTATTCATTTACAAGACGCATTGATGAAAATAAAAAAGCTGTCCAATTTTTCAGTTGACTTTCATAAAATATACATTATTACTTGTTTTATATATTTCGTCGAACGCTAAAATCTCCTTAATTAGATTTGCCTCTCTTTCTACACGCGCGCGCGCGTGTGTGTTGTATGCAATATATCATATATATCCGTATACATCATATTAAATAATTTCTTTATTTAATATGATGTACAATTTATTAATATTATTTATTTACACTTTTCATATCTAAAAGTAATCTAGAAATTATAATATAAGCTAGAAGCAATTGGAATTAACCACTTAATTATACAGAAATTATATGTATAGAAAAAGATCATCGACCTTTTTTATTGCACGCAATTAAAGAGAAAATTGAAAAGAAGAGAAGAAAAGACATTATCATTTATTTCGATATGACAGCGTGCCCGCTTGTTTTCTATAAATAAATTAAGTCTCTCTGAATTTCACGTCGTCGTACACATTTGGCGTGCCATTGATTCTGCGTCATACACATTTGATGCTTATCCATTTATCTATTTCGAGAATCCGAACCCTGCGAGGGCGTGCCGTTCCTTTTTGTCTAATCGGAACGAAGTGAATTAGCCCCAACACGAGACCGCGCCTAAATATTGTCCGTGTCTCGCGTAAATTGACGAGACTTTTAAATCCTTTTCCTTTACCGTAAGATTGATCTAGTCTCAAGTGCCGCGAAAATTAGAAAATTAATACATGTCGTCCGCATCGTATCCTCGTTCTCTCTTATCGTTTATATTATAATAGAATTTATCGCGTGCCAAACGCATTCCGTTATGCAACAAGTTATTTTTCGATTCAACTTTTCAAGTATTCCGATAACACAAACTTCCAAGAAAATCATTTGCAAAAAGAAGAATTTTCCCAATTAGTTTGAGCTATTTCAAATAGTTTGGCACTTTACAAAATTTCAGAGAGTATTTAATATTTTATCATATACACAATGTAATAAAAGACCTTAAATATTATTTTATTTAAATATTTTTAAAATAATTTTAATTTTTTACAAGAACAATTTCCTATTTCTTTTACTTTCTGTAAATTATATTATCCTAATTTTTAGAAGCTTCAACTTAGTTTGTCAAAATGTATTTGCTAAGGTATATAAAATTCATATATTTAAGTATGTACAATAAAATTGTCTAATTAAAAAATGTCATTTAATTCCATGTTATTATAATTACCGCAGTAATTTATTATATTTAACCAATTTATTATATATACTTTTTTAAATAATAAAATTTTTTATAAATTAAATCCGTAAAAACAAGTTAAGTCTATTGTACTCTTTCAATGTCTTTTTAGCATCTTCTTTTATCTTTCAATTTTGCTATTAAA